CCCCCAAGTTAAAATGACTTACGGTCAGGTGTCTCTCTCCATGCTGTCAGTGGCAGTTACCTTCAGCTTTGTGCCATCATCCTGGGACCCAGTGAAGGACATCCTCTTTGTGGGACATGCTGTTCTTGCTGCAAAAGAAAAATATGACAGAACCAAGCAATTACTCTTAAAGTTTACGCTCAGCAGTGGTATATATCACTTTCTTCCTCATTTCGTTGAACAAATGAAGGCATAAGGCCAACCCTGCCATTCAACAAGGTGGGGAGGTAAAATCCTACCAGTGGGAGGGACAAAATTAATTAGGAACAGTAATACAATCTACCACAGAGGCTGTTTGCATTCTCAGACAGGTATGGTTTTGACTTTTGGATTATTTATAAAATAAAAAAATTTTAAAGTTTTGCTAATATACAAGTAAGACTTTCTTATCTCTGGGACGGGTGTTAGTTCAATTTAATGCTGTGAATTTACAAAAAAAAAAAAAACAAGCCCCCCCCCCCCTCAAAAAAAACCAACAAGCCCTAGCCAGTTTAGCCCAGTAGATAGAGCGTCGGCCTGAGGACTGAAGGGTCCCAGATTCCATTCCGGCCAAGGGCACATGCCCCGGTTGTGGACTCGACCCCCAGTAGGGCCGTGCAGGAGGCAGCCGATCCATGATTCTCTCTCATAATTAATACTTCTAACTCTCTCTCCCTCTCCCTTCCTCTCTGAAATCAATAAAGAATATATTAAAAAACACAAAGGCAAAAACACCACATCTAGAATTAAAATCACTTTGAAAAAATCAATAAATATCTGGAAGCTCTATGCATATAATTTTGATCTACGTATAAACAATATTAACATAAACTGAGCTAATTGAAATATTTACTATATCACTCTGAATGAAGGAAAAATAACTGATTTCCACCCCACTCCCATTGCAGCTATTAGGGGATCCCTCAAAAAGAATTTCATGTATTTTATTTAAATATTTTTTAAAATTAATTTCAGAAAGTAAGGGAGAAGGAGAGATAGAAAAATCAATGATGAAAGAATCATTGATGGGCTGCCTCCTGCACACCCCACACTGGGGATCAAGCCCACAACCTGGGCATATGCCCTGACCAGGAATCAAACCGTGACCTCCTGGTTCAGAGGTCGATACTCAACCACTGAGCCACGTCGGCTGGGCATAGTTAGTATTCTAAATGAGAACATTCAAATAGTTTCTTCAAATTTGATAAAAATTTCTCTCACCATTTCTGTGTAATGCCACGAGGGAACAGAGGTTTAATTTATATAGGTAGCAAATGAAAATTTTTTTAGATTTAATGGTATATGACATATGTATTGAGGCAAGTTTTTTGTTGTTCGATTTTCGCTTGCAATTCTTCTTTCTTTAGTATTTTTTAAAAGTTATTTGTCAATAGCTGGTACCTGGGGCACTGAGCCCAGCTTTGCTTAATTTGACTGCTTTTGCAGCAGTCTGTATTTCAAGATACTTTGGAAATTCTTTCTAAAAATGAATTAAATAATCTCATTTTGGGAAGCTAGCTTCTTTTTAAATGGTATTTTATGACTAGAGTTTTTAAAACAATTCCTAGTTTGGCTTTTCATAACAGACCTGACAACAAATCACATTGCACAACAAAATGTATTCACTCAGAGAATGAGAGTAATTATTATCATTGCTATTAATTATTATTGCTATTAATAATTATTATTATAGCTAACAGTGCTACTGCCATTGTTCTAAGTGCTTTACATGTGTTGATTCATTTCACCTTCACAAGAATCCATGAGATAAGATACCAATATTATCCCCATTTTACAGAAGAGGGACTTAAAATACTTATTTTAATGCAAATCTAAATTCAGCTTTGGAAAAATAAGTCATGTTTGGCAGGGTTTATCAGTGAGGCTAGGAAGTTGGCCAATTAAAGCAGGAAACCAACAGAAGAAAGGGAAGTAGCAGCAGAAGCTTGTGTAGAGGTTTCCTGAACCTTACTCTCTTCTTTAAATAGAAGAATTTCAAACAAACAAATAAAAAACCTTAGGCAGTTCTTATGAGCTGTTAGTCAAAAGAGAATTGTTTTCTATTTAGCTCTAGGTCAACAAATAGCCTTTTAGTTGTTATGAAGGGCAAGATCTGGAACTTATGTATAGGTTACGTTATGATCCTGAGACATTAGCCATTTTTTAATCTTCAAAAGAACAGAGAAGCTCAGGAACTGTGCTTCTAGAGAGAATAGACACAAAGTGGGTGCGTTCCAACCTCTCCTGTGATGGTGGACTGCCTTCCCAGTGGCTGTGAGACCACACCCATTGTAGGCAGCAAAGAGGAAGTCTGAGAGTAGCTCTGAGGACCCAGCCACTTGCTAGTCTGGAGAGGCCTTTGTATTTGTAGCAATCTTGGTGGGCCATTGCACGTGTAAAAAACGTTTTTATAGGGCTGTATTTTGTTTTATATGATATGATTGAGGAGGTGAATAATTAACCTCATGGAAATAGTAATTAACTGCAGTTCATAGTTCCAAAGTTGTACTTGATTAAAAGACAATTAGTAAAGATTAAAAGAAACATTGTAGATGAAGAAAAGAATCAAATGAAAGCACTGAGTCACATTTTTATTCTATTTATGGTCATTTCAATTTGCTGTCTCTAACTTTGTCATCCGTCTTCTCAGAGGGGTTGAATTTCATCAGACTCTTCAGTTTTTCATAATGTTAGGAGTAATGTCTATTCTCACCAGTTTATCCTTGAAAGGAGGAACTCTACAAAATAATCTATTACAAGGTTTGCTTTTTATGTTTAAGTATACTATAAAGTATTTACACCTTTAATCATTGGAAAGAATTTGCATAGAAAAATTAGAGAAACTAAGAGAAAAGAACAGGGAGGAAAATAACGGGATTTGTCAGTAACCTGAACGTGGTTGAAAGGAAGGCACCCACGAAACGGATTAAGCAAAGTTATACCTAAAAGATGGGAGAACACTCAGGTTTATGTCATTGATAAAGCAGACGGGAGAGGTTAGGCAGAGGTAGTATTTATCGTTCTTACAAAATGTGGTGTTCCTTTTCATGAGTATGTTATTACTTTGATTCCTGTCAAATTTTGGTGACAGGCAACATGAAGTAGTAATAAAAGGCCTCTAAATAAATTGCAATTGCCTTAACATTTTCTTTTTTAAATGTGGTTAAGTGCTTTACACAATAGCTCTTTCCACGTTCTTCTGGTTCAGGAGCAGATAGAGCCGTGGCCGGTTTTGCTCTGTGGTTAGAGGTCAGGCCCCCAGAGCGAAGGGGGTGAGGTACCTCGATCCCTGCTTACAGGAGGCAACCACATGGATGTTTCTCTCTCTCTCTGTCTCCCCCTCCCTTCCACTCTCCAAAAAAAAAAAAAAGGAAAAAAATATCCTCACCCAGCCCGGGTGGCTCAGCAGCGATTGAGCGCTGCCCTATGAACCAGGAGGTCACAGCTGGATTAGGGGTCGGGGCACATGCCCAGGTGGCAGGCTCCATCCCCAGTGTGGGGCGTGCAGGAGGCAGAGGATCCATGATTCTCTCTCATCATTGATGCTTCTATGTCTCTCTTCCTCTCTGAAATCAATAAAAATATATTAAAAAATATGTACTTATCATCAGGTAAGGATTAACAGCAACAAAAAAAGGAGCAGATAGAACTTAAACATGGCAAGAGGGTGACATGCCACAGGTGACACACCCTGTAGGGACAGCCAGCTCTCCTAATTAAGAATCTGCTGCAATAGTATCAGACTCATTAGCTTTCTACGGTAAACCTGGTGATCAGTTCATGACGCGCCTGACACACACCCTTCGTAAAAATCACCCCACTAACCTTTTGGGGGAAATCTATGCATTTAAACCTACTTGTTCCAAGAAACCATCTTTGGCCCTGCTGGTGTGGGTCAGTGGGTAGAGCGTCGGCCTTCGGACTGAGGGTCCCGGGTTCGAATGGGGTCAAGGGCACAGGCCCGGGTTGCGGGCTCCATCCCCAGTGGGGGGCGCGCAGGAGGCAGCCGATCCACGGTGCTGTCTCATCACTGAGGTTTCTCCATCTCCCTCTCCCTTCCTCTCTGAGATCAATAAAAAAATATTAAAAAGTTCATCTTAAAAAAAACAAGTCTAAAAATACATGTTTTAGAGCGTTGAGCGGAGTGACTGCAGGCTCAGAGGGACACTCAGGGGTCACGACCCCGGCCGCCCCGCGCAGGTCCAAAAGGGCAGGCGGCCCCGGGGATGCCGGCCGGCCCCGGGGGGACCCGAATTCGCGGGCTCCCATTGGGAAGGGACGAGGCGGCCTTTAACACAGAAAAGCATCTTTCTCTCGAGCTGCTGCCCATTAATGCTTTTTGGAGATCCGGGTGCACATTGTTTTTAAAGGCATTTGGGACCCGGAGAGCAGCCGCCTTCTGGGACTGCCCCTCGCCCTCCGCCCGGCCCGGCCGTCCACATGGCCGCGCCACACAACAGCGGACTGGGCTCATTTTTTCCAAAACACTTCACATCTGGGCAGTCGCCAGCCATGGAAACTGCCAGCGTCTGGGAGAGGGACCAGGCTCGTCGGGGGCTGCCCTCGCGGGGCCGCGGCCCTCGGAGGTCGCCGCACGCCCTTACCCGTCGCCGGGTCCCGCCGCCCTCCCGGTCTCCTCAGCAGCGGGAGGGAGCCCGGGAGCCTTATCCGCCGCGTCCATGACGACCCCTGAGCCCGGGGCTCCTCAGTAGAGCGGCCGCGGGGTGCGCACGGCGAGAGGGAGGCGGCTGCCCCGAAGCCCGGACGCTCCCCGCCTCGCGCGTCCATTCCACGCCTCTCCCCGCCTCCGGCCGCTCCGCCGCCCGCCGCGGTGCGCACCCAACGCCGAGGGAAGTTTGACTGCTCCAGTCCCCAATCAGAAGAGAGGTCTGGAATCGCAGCCAATAGGAGCTGGCGAGGTGGGCGTGCCCGCGGCGTGGTCCCGCCCCCGGAGAGGGAGCGCGGTATGTCCCCGGCCGCCGCCTGCGCTTCAGCCTCAGTGCGGAGCCGTCGCCGGTCGGAGCAGCAGCGGCGGCCGAGTCGGAGGCGGCGGAGTCGGCGGTTGCGGAGCGGCCACCACACCCACCCCCACGTCGCGGGCCCTGTCCTTGCTTGTCCTCTCGCCGCCCCGCGGGAGGACGATCCCGGGAGGAGAGCGGCCGCCTACGCCCCGAGCATCTTTCCCCGTCGAGCCGGTGCGGGCTGAGCGGGCGGCATGATGAGGCTCCGAGGGTCGGCGCTGCTGCGGGACCTCCTGAGGCCGCCCGCCGCCGCGGCCCTGAGGCGGGCGCAGCCTCTCGCCACGCTCCGCCGCCGCGCCCGGGGCGGGGGGCCCGAGGCCGCGGGCCCGGCGGCCGCCGCGCGGCTCTGCCCGCGCTGGGGCGGGGGCGGCCGGCTGGCGGGGCCCGGCGCCAGGGGCCTGTCCAGCTCGCCCTCCGAGATCCTGCGGGAGCTGGGCAAGGCGGGCGCGCAGCAGCCGCAGGAGCCGCAGTCGCCGGAGCCGCAGCCCGGGGCGTCGCCGCCCGCGGCCCCGCCGGCGCCCGGCGCCAAGGACGGCCCCGCGGACACGGACGCGTTCGGCCACAGCGAGGGCAAGGAGCTGGCAGCCTCGGGCGAGAGGTGAGTGTCTCCGCGGGCGGGGCGGGCGGGGCGGCCTCGCCCTGCGTGAGGGCCCGCGTCCGGGCGCGGCCCGCTGCGGGGCGGGATGGGAGCGGAGGTTGGAGAAAGAGAAAGAAAGAGATGCCGGCGGCCTGCGTCGCCTGCGCCATGTGATTAGGCCCAGCCGCGCCCCAGCCGTCGCCGCCCGCGCCCCTTCGCGGGCCCCCACTTCCCTTCCCGGCCGCCCGCCCGCCCGCGTGGAGCCGCCGAGGGGCCGGGTGATGCCCTGGCGCTGCGTGTCCGCGCCCCGCGCTCCCCGCTCGGGCTCCTCCGCCCGGCCCTTCGCGGGCGATGCCACACGGACACCCCCACCGGCTGACAGGCAGGGGCCGGGCGCTGAGCGGAGCCCGCGCCTCCCCGGCTCGTGGCTTTTCCGGGCTCGGGTGTCCTCCGTCTGCCCTCCTTCCGTCTCTGCCTCCGTCTCTTGGGAAACCTAACGTGGCCGAGGATCCTGACAGTTTCCAGAGTGGAAACATCCCGGTCTGCGTGGAGCCATCTGGGCGCCGGAAGTAAGGTTTCCGCGAGGAGATGAGGGGCCGGAGGCCGCGGGGATGGGGCGCGCGTGCCGACCACCTGTTGGCCCCGGGGACCACGGGCTTGGGCCTGTGGGTTGTGCTGCGGGAGGTGGGCGAGGTGTTTTGGGAGACAAAGGTTAGAATTCCGAAGATGAAATGCGGCCGGCAGAACGCTCACTGAAAAGGTCGAGTTCAAACAGCGATGGCATGTGAACGCCTCTGTACCGCACAGCCCTTTAGTCTTCACGCAAAGCTGGCTTTTCTCCCACGGCGTGGGAAGCAGGCCCTGGGTACTCTGTCCTGTGCAGTACAAGTGGGCACGACCCCTGTCTCCCCAGGGGCTTACAAATACTCCTGTCTGTTCTCTTCATGCCCTGCTATTTTTCTGATCTTGTACCGACATTATCTCCAGCCCCATGGAATCTTAAGTCAAATCGAAAGTGTGATTCTTCATACGTTCAGCCTTAGGTCAGCTTCATGTTTCCTGTAATTGAAGCGGGCACCTTCTTAAAACATTCCAAGCTAAAGTTTTCCCAGACTGAAAAAAAAATGTTATTTTTTTTAAATCACTTGATGATGGGCAAAGTCTGTGGTATTCCGTGGTGATGATGACGTGCTGCAGAGCAGGACCTTGGGCATCATTTAGCACCTTCAGTTAGATGACTCACATCCCTTCAAGATCTAAAAGGCTAGGTTTTTGTTAAATTTCCAACTCCTCTGTTTTTTTAGGGACTAGAATGGGTATGGTTAATGTCATCTGATACCTTTATGATCTGGTTTACCAGACGTGTAACTAGTTTAAATACCTGTACTCACACACAGAATTGCAAAATGCGATTACTGGCATTTAAAGTTGTCCTTAAAGGCTATAGGATGGGACCTGCTTTCTACTGAAAACGCCTTCCAGTGTATGTCTCTTCAGTGGCTTTAGTATCCCTCTTTTTCCCCCAGAACCCTGTGCCTTGATTAACGTTGAAACCCTAGCAATGACTTTGAAACCCTATTTTGGCTAATACTGACAACCCCTACATAAATGTCCTCCTAGTCTCCCCAGACCCCAAAGAAAATCAGCCTCGGCCGGGGATCCGTCAAGATTATTTGCTTAGATGTCCTGGAGTTTGAGTGATCAGTAAGATAGTCTTGTTTACCTCAATTAAAAGTTTGGAGTAATAGGCTAGACTGGTTCAGGTACTACAGGCATACCTTGCATACCACTGTAATAAAGCAAATATTGCAGTAATAAGCAAGTCGTAATCTTTTTGCTGGTGGAGAGTCTTGCCTTCAGTTTGTAAAAAAACAAACAAAAAAACCCTCAATACCTAGGAAGGGCAATAAAGCTAAATGCAATAAAATGAGGTATGCCTAAATATGAGAATCCTGAGAGTTTTCCAATGAAGGATTTCAAGAGTGAACGCCAGCTGTCTCCAGTTTACATATGAAGTGAAGAGCACTGGCTTTGAGATTGTGAAAAAAAATTTATCTGGTTAAAGATCCTATTTTCTGAATGTTCTGATTTCCAATTGTAGCTGTCCTCCTTTCCATTTGCCTGTGTTCTGGGAGGTAAGCTTCCAGTTGATTTTGTTATTACTGGTGCTCAGCTTCCAAAGCATAGGTCATCCCTCCAACCGCAAACCACCTGGAATGCCAGTCCTCACTCAGGACCTGCCAGGTTTTATAGGGGGTTATTAAAAGAAATAGCCAAGTGAAAAACGAGTTAACGTTTTGTAAAGGGCTTACTTAGAACAGTTTTGGCATGTGTTGTATACAACATAACTGTTCATTAAATAGAATGAAATTGCTTTGTTTATTGTAAAACCTGACAAGGACATTGGCCTTGAATTTTAGGACTGTGTACTTTCTTAAATATCTCCTGGAAAAATGAAATGATCTGTGCTCAGTTTTCCATGTAGTGCTCTTATTTAATTTTGTTACTGTCATTCTATCATTTTGAAAACCACTTTGCTTGGCTCTCCCATTTTTTAAGTTGTCTGTCTGCTTTCCTGACTCTTTGGGTCTGTTCACTGGGTAAACCCTGAGGCTGGGGCCTTTGCTGCTTTGCCATTTGTCTACCTTCTCAAGAGCATCTCCCTTTTCTCGGCTTTGACTCTCATCTTTGTGTAGGTAATATCATCTCTCCTCCAAGCTCTGTTCTCACATTTACCTCCACATATCTGATGACTTCAAATTTAAAATCTGTATCCTCATATCCACTCTTTGGTCTCATTTCAACCTATTTTGCATACTGTTTCGAGACTAATGATAGACTTTTAATTTCAAAAAATCACTGGCCTTTCAGAAAACCAATATGGACTGGAATGAGTATTATATAAAAGTCACAGAGCATGCTATAGCATTAAAGATTCCTCATTAACCTTTATAGCAATGCTTGTCCAACATGGTCATTTTTATCACAGTGTTTCGTCTCTGTCAAGCATGCCATGCTTCATGTCTATAAAGCCTAGAAGTGTGTATATTCTAGGTCCCTGGGAAGGGTTTGCAGGTGGGAACAGGGCATTTTAAGTTACTTTTTGTTGAGCAATTTCTTATTTAATTAGAAAGGAAAAGAGATATAACGGAAGGACCAGGTTGGGAAAATACCACTACAAGTATGCTCTTTAGAAAATAGGTAATTCAGACAGAGGGCAATATTGAAAGTATTCCATTAAAATACCAGTGAGATCATTTTTACTCTATCAGATTGGCAGACTTTTGTTAAGTTAAATCAAGTGATGCAAAGGGTGTGGGAAATGGGAACTCTTATGTTGCTGGTAGAAGTATAAATTAAATTAGTTCAGCTATTTAGGAGGGCAGTTTGGTAGTATCTGTTAAAAATTGCATACCCATGTGCAATAATTGCACGTTTGCTTATCTATACAAAATCATGGCACTTCAAAAATATTTTTACAATTAGAATAATTAAAAATACTTTATTAAAAGTGAGAGTGATTTCCTCTATCTTCAGATACTGTGATCTTGTTTTGGAAATTCATATTTTTTTAAAAAAATTATGTTTTTATTGATTTCAGAGAGAAAGAAACATCAATGATGAGAGAGAGTCATTGATGGGCTGTCTGCTGCACGCCCCCTACTGGGGATGGAGCCCGCATTCTGGACCTGTGCCCTGACCAGAATCAGAGATCTCCTGGTTTATAGGTAGCGGCCCAACCATTGAGCCACACCGGCCAGGCTGGAAGTTCATATTCTTAATAAATGGAAAGCAAAGGCCATAGAAGCATTATATTCTATTGAGAATTGAATTTCGAAATAAGGTTAAATACTTATGCATTTCAACAAACTGAGTTGGGTCTATAGAACAGTACTGATAATAAAGTTGCCATGGTATTTGGCAGATACAGATAATATATTTTGGAATTTAAAAAAACCCTTTATTGACATAGATGACAAATTTTGTTATGATCATTTAATTATTTGCTTTTATTGTAAAAGTGAACATATTTTCATTTCACAAGGTAAAATTAAATTGGGACAGTACAGTTAATTTTGAGATAAAATAGTTAATTTTTTCACTGAACCTCAGTCATTTTGTTTGTGATTTACTCTACTACAAATTTTTACTGGTTATCAGTGAGTTTAAATTTTGTTTTAATAGCATCATAACATAACATTTTTTGCTGCCTAATGTTTACATTAAACCACACATCTAGTTAGCCATGGATATATATATATATTTTTTTTAATATATTTTATTGATTTTTTACAGAGAGGAAGGGAGAGAGATAGAGAGTCAGAAACATCGATGAGAGAGAAACATCGACCAGCCGCCTCCTGCACATCCCCCACCGGGGATGTGCCCGCAACCCAGGCACATGCCCTTGACCGGAATCGAACCTGGGACCCTTCAGTCCGCAGGCCAACGCTCTATCCACTGAGCCAAACCGGTTTCGGCAAGCCATGGATATATTAGTACACAATCTGTAATTAACAAACTACATGTTACTAATTAATGTTTAGGTGAAGTTCACTGATAGAGCATGAATTAGGTCCTGGAATGTAGTCTCCTTGAGTTTTAACTTCTAGTTTCCGGGCTTTACTGTTTTACAAAGAAGTCTGTGTACTTCAGAATCAAGTAATTCAGGATAGGACTACCAAATCGAATTTAATCTTTTTTTGCATGTGAGGTAGTATGTAGGGAAAGTAATTGGGGAGTAGGACATTATTTTAGTCTGGAAAAGATAGAGGTCACCTTGAAGAGAAATTTGTTGCAGGTATTTGTGGGTTACTTTGAGATTTACAAAATTATTTGAAACCAGTAAAAAGCTGCACTACTTCCTTCTTGTAGTATTGAGGTAAAGGAAAAGTATGTCTGTAGAAACTGCAAGTCTAATTTGTAGAATTTGCATTCTTTAAGGAGCTCAATATTTAAATCCTATATAAACAAAGGAGTTGCCTATCATTTTTAAAAAATTTATCTTTATTGTTGAAAAT